CTCCAACGTCGCATCATACAACGTTCAAGGCACATACCGCGGCGTCAGCGCCCACGCTGGAGCCACTCCATGGGAGGGGATCAATGCCCTTGATGCGTTGGTCTCAACCTACGTCAACGTCTCGATGCTGCGGCAGCAGATACTGCCTTCAGAGAGAATCCATGGTGCTATTGTTGAAGCACCGAAACCTTCTTCTAATGCGATTCCAGCTCTCACCAAGACAGAATACACAGCTAGAAGTACCACGGTCCGTGGAGCTAAGAATCTGGCTGGTAGAATTCGTCAATGCATGGAAGCTGGCGCTCTTGCTACCGGTTGCAAGCTAGACGTTGAGGAAAAAGCCGGATACTCGGAATTGCGTGTCAATGAACCCTTATGCAAATCATTTCAAGAGCACATAGCTGCCAACGGTATCAAAGTCCTCAAGACGGAGGGCCCTGTTGCCGCAGCTACAGATCAAGGAAATGTGTCTTACGCTATACCAGCTCTCCATGCAGTCATTGGTATCCCAGCGAGGGATGGGTCGAAGAACCATACAGCTGGTTTTACTAAGGCGGCGGGGGCATCTATTGCTTACGAGAGGTCGGTGATCTCTGGAAAGGCAATGGCGATGACTGGATGGGATGTACTTACGGATAATACTTTCTACCAGGATATCATCGAGGATTTCCGCAGAGATGAGAAAGTTCGGTGAGAAAGGATTGATACTAGCAGCTTATATTACAGCGCCTTATTATGTTGGGCTCTAATTTCGCTGTAATAAAGGTATTAAAATACAATGGTGACGAAATTTACTAACTCTTTTTGCCTCGAGACTGCAAGGAGTATGCTAGTGTTAAATATATATAAAAATTAGCCGTATGGATTACCTTCCTTCTCCACTAGCCTAATTAAGTAAGCTCAGTGTATGACTATTTTTATGCAAGATCTAATTGGCAGATCAAGCTCCTTAGATAAGGTCGGCTGGCTTATCGTTACATCTTAACTATTTATAGACACCAGGATCCACTTGCCGTAAGACTAGAAGTATGTATAGGTTATGCAGTCAATTACGACCTGTCTAGATATTGAAATAACTGCTGGCAATCCATAAATGGTCTTATTCAGATAAGCTAAGTGAGCATTAAAACCGATATATAAGAGAGTGTTATGCAGTCCTCTGTATTTATTACTTTACTAGAAAAATAACTGAAGTCTATCTCTGTCTCCGTTTTCATTTTTGAAACACTTTACCATTTCATCAGCATTTTCAAACATCATCCTTGATCATGGGGATTGAAAGCCACACTCAACTTACCAACGGTGAACGCCATGGCCCTTCGACAGTAGTCAGCTCGGAAGAGGCACTCAAAGCCGAACACGATTTCTCCGCCAAAAACTACCAGTCTCTTCCTATCGTTTTATCCCGTGGCCAAGGAGCGTCCGTATGGGACCCTGAAGGTCGTCACTATCTCGACTTTCACGCTGCTTCCACCGCCCTCAATCATGGCCATTGCCATCCAAAGCTCGTCGCTGCCCTAGTTGAGCAGGCGTCACGACTGACACTTACGTCTCGCGCGTTTCATAACGACATCTATCCTCAATTTGTGCGGTATGTAACTGGGCTTTTTGGGTATGACAGAGCTCTACCTTCGAGTACCGGCGCCGAAGCATCAGAGACTGCCATCAAAGTCTCGAGGAAATGGGCGTATAAGGTTAAAGGTGTACCTGAAAACGAGGCTATCGTGCTGGGGGCGGCTGGAAACCACCATGGACGTACGGTATGTGAATTGAACATTATGAGATTAATTTCATCGATGCTAAATTACTTTTGCAGTTAGCAACTATCGCGTTAGCTTCAGATACCATGTCGCGCAACAACTATGGCCCATTGGACCCGAATATCAGCTGCGCCATCCCTGGAACCGATCGGCACATCCAATTAAATGACAAGGCTGCACTCGAAGAAGCATTTGAAGCAGCTGGATTTAGCCTAGCAGCCTTCATTGTTGAGCCGATCCAAGGCGATGCAGGTGTCATTGTTGCCAATGACGACTATCTTCAACATGCAAGAGCACTCTGCGATAAACACAATGTTCTCTTAATTTGTGACGAGATTCAGACAGGAATTGGAAGAACTGGAAAGTTTCTGGGCCACTACTGGAGTGGCATCAGGCCTGACATGGTTCTTTTGGGCAAGACTATGACAGGTGGCATGTATCCTGTCTCATGCGTGTTGGGAGATGATGCTGTAATGCTCACGGTCGAACCAGGAACCCACGGATCAACATATGGTGGTAATCCACTTGGAGCCGCTGTTGCGATGCGTGCTCTGCAAGTTGTCGAGGAAGAGGGCTTGGCTGAGAATGCTGAACGACTTGGTTGCGTCATGCGCGATGGACTCAAAGAAATCCAGGCTCAGACGGACATCATCGAAACGATTCGCGGAAGGGGTCTGCTCAATGCGATGGTCATTGACCAGTCCAAGACGAATGGGCATACAGGTATACGCCTGTGCGAGCTGATGATGGAAAAAGGGTTGCTAGTAAGTCGTAGTTGCTGAATATATACCTGTTTACTGACTTCTGGCTAGCTCAAATCCAGCCGCACAGGCATCATCCGCATTTCCCCCCCTCTTGTGATCAAGGAAGAAGAGATCAAGTGGTCGCTTCGAATTATCAAGAAGTCGATTGATGAACTTATGCAGCTTCCTCATGCCACATAGGAGAAGGGATTAAATAGAAGCACTAAATAGTGTTTACTTACAAATTATTGAGAAGAGGTCGTATTTTCACGGACTCGTGATGTATGCAACTCTATCATCAAGTTCATGCCCACCAAGCAGTCTACTGCCGCATTCCTGACAAATCCCATAACTTGGAGGTTTTGGCCCGCATGAAGTCACTAACATCCAGGACTTCAGTCGCCTCATCATAAAGACGATCATTGCTATCCTGCGGAAAGAACTTTTGTACCACTTTCTTCATCGCAAGTTTGTCAGACCAAGTCCGTGGAACTTCTTCATGCTGTTTCAGCACACGAAGCACTGTCGGAAGCTGATAGGCCGGGAGTTCATTCTCCAGGTCGCTTCTGATTCTCTCCAAGTTGACCTTTCCGGCCCCTTCACGGAGTCGAACAAGGGAGGCAACACGGGTGTCGCAGTGTGGATCTGCAACTGGGAGGACGTATCCCTCCAGGATGTATGGAAGAGCTGTGAGACATGCTTCGACTTGCATGCGGGGAACCTTGTAGGTGTAGAACTTGAATACTGCATTGAACAAGATGAAAGTTAGATCATGGTCGATATTTAAGAGTGAAATGATAAGAAAGATACTGACGGTCCATATTAGCCCTTCCTTGGAAGATGAGCTTCTTATCGCGACAGATAACGACATCTCCCGTCTTGAAAAACCCTTCGGAGTCGAAACGCTCCGCTGAATCTTCCGGTCTGTTCAGGTAACTGGCTGGACGTGAGTGATTGTTTCTCCCCCGGTGCACAGAAGAACATACCCAAGAAACAAAGACGGCGTCTTGACAAGAAGTTCTCCTTCGAAGCCATCTACCTTGACCTCGACGCCTGGTTGAGGTGTTCCGAGGTCGTTCTGTATGCCTCTCGTCAGTGGGACGTCTCCCAACTACAGTGCGTCTTACCTCAGTGAATTCCACCTTTCCATCGCAGACCGAGATCTCCTGAGTCTCAGTAGATCCATACAGAACCTTCAACGCCCTCCCACCACGGACATCCCGCCAAAACTCCTTCAGCCTCTTAGAAGGCATAGCTCCAGTCGCAGTAGCGTCACGAAGGTGCCTAGCCCCTTCAACATACTCTTGAACCTCGGGCTCAGGTAACTGTGAGATGTTCTGCTGAAAGTAATGCATCATACCATACCAAAAGGTTGGAGATAGAACAATCTTGGTGGCCGTCTTGGCGCGGAACCTCTCCCATATCAGGTTATACTGTCGACCGAAATTTTGAATTTCGATACGAACGCCTGTGAGGAGCATTTGGAAGACTTTTGTAAAGTAGACGGACCAAAAAGCTCCGCTGGGTATGAGACAAATGTCATCATTGAGTCCTGCTTCTGCCATTCGCGCATACTTATTGATAGTTTTGCGGGCATGAAGTACGCCCTTTGGGGGTCCAGTTGTGCCTGAAGTAAAGAACAAGATGCTGGGATAGTCCTCAGACACCGCCATGGTTGGAGTGAGGGCATATGCTGCTGTCGGTGGTAGTACATCGATCTGAACCTGGCCTTCAATGGTCAAGGTGGATATCTCGAGTTCAGCTTGAATTCTTTCACCGAGGTCAATTTGCTCGGGGCCGACGAGCAGGTATTGTGCGTTGCATTGCTGGAGCATATAAGCTGCCTCAGTGGGAAGGGCTCCTGTAGCTGTTGTTTGGTTAATTGGCTATTTTAAAGTCTGATTGTCGTATTATCTAACTCACGCATAGGAACAACCACTCCCCCAAATGCCAGCACAGCAAGAACGGCGATGATGAACTCATAGCCATTTGGAGCCAGAACAGCAATGAAAAAGTCTCCCGAATGTTCTAGGGTATATCCATGAAGGGTTTGTAGCTTCTGTAGCAGCCTTGAGGTGCCGTCGAGGACATGACGATAACCAAATTGTGTACCGTGACTGTGGTCGTCAACAATAGTCTGGTCCTGATATTCGCGCACCAGCTTCAAGAGCCTGGAAAAGAGGACGTCGTCAGGGAGGTCGATCTTTGAACTAGTCATAATGGAAAGAATACGATTGTGGTGAGGAGTATTGCTAGAATATTGAGCTGAGGGATGCTTGGTATTTAACTTCAAGGTCACCTTGGCGTAGTTGATCTGCTGAATTGGATGGCTACCATATGATTCCACATCATGCAGAGCTAGGTACGCGACAAATCAGTTTCATCTGAGTGGATTATTAGACGGTTTGACGTAGTGGTTAAAGCATTCACATCAATAACAAAATGACATTTGAACATGGCTCTAATTGATGAGCCAAAGAATGTATACGGCTCTCCACTAGTCATCCTTCCACTCCCTCTTCGTACCATTTCGATATTCTCCATTCCCATTTTCACCATTCTTATGGCCATTGGAAACTATGCGACGAGCGACGCTACTGTATGAATCCAGCGTCTGAATCGCAGACTGACATATCGCCGTAATGTCCCCATGAATAATAAACGCATTCCATCCCATATCTATCCTGCTCTTCATTGTAGAGTGAGATATGCCGAATCCCATCATGGGCAGGCCGTTGGCCTTGGCCGCGTCTCGTATCTTCTCAAGGGCCGACACGAAAGCAGGCTCATCGCCATCAAGACTCCCTGTAGCCATTCCCATACATAGTCGCAAATCACCTGTGCCAATAAATAGTCCATCAACTAAAGCAAAAGGATATCAGCACAAGTTTCGGGTCTACGCAAGATTGATACATACCGCCGGGAACCCTGCAGATTTCCTCAATATTCTCCAAACCTTCCAGGTCCTCAATCTGACAGATCACAGCGGCATGGTTATTCCAGACATCATACGTCGTTTGACCTTCTGGTGTTTTATGTTGATGTTCGTTGATCAAGGCAGCAGGAGGATAGCTTCGATCTCCCGTTGGCGGAAATCTTGACAGTCGAACCAAGTCCTCAGCCTGCTTGGCATTTTGTACGTGAGGCATGATCACTCCTCCTGCGCCTGCGTTCAAAGCATGTGGGACTAGTTCTGGTGAACATCCTGGGATCCGCACAACCGGGACCATGGTGCCGTGTGAATGATACTGTATCGTTCGAATCATGCTCACAAGCAGAGTAATATTTAGCGGCGTATGTTCCTGCATTCACTCATCAGTCACTCATACCTTTCCATTATCGTATGGGCGTGAATTCTGTCTTTGGGTAATAGGGAATCTAACCGCATCAAGGAAGCAAAAATGATATGGCGTCGAGGCAACGATTCGAGCCGCCTCTTCGTGAGGAATTCGACAGCCAGTGCCCCATAGTATTGTTCCAGACTTGAGCATCGAATTGAAGTTGGTGGGCTGAGCCAAGCTCAGTGCATTATAATCTTTTGTATTGAGTGTTCTCATATTGCTGGCTGGATCCTTTGCGAGCGATGGCGGCGATGATGATGAGTGAGACTGCAAATTATCAAGTAATTATGTTCATTCCCCTACTAGATGATGAATGAAAAAGTCAGGCGGCTAGTCCAATGGTCAGCCTGTTGAATGATATGAGTGGAGAATGAGAAGAGAGTGACGCCCAGGACACCCTTGGTCGCCTGGTCCACATGTAAAGACTATGTCTGGTTAATGTACCTGCCTGTGCAATAAGCCTCATGATCTGATACATGCCACCATCAACTGCGATGAGTATGTTGGGGCCATCTTAAGCTAATATGTGTGCATGCTTGGCGCTATTGTAGATCAGATTGTCAATGATTCAGAACGCCAGTAAACAATAGTTTAAGGAATTATACTGTAGAACATGCGACATGAAAGGATGTTAACAAGTCAAAAGTATTTAAGGGTCGATATTTCTCCTAAGACTAATTAGTTTACAGAACTTAACTTGACCCAAGAGACACATTTTTACTCGCTCTCTCTAAAGGCATCATGGCCATAGGCACAAATAAAACCGCTAACCTCGCGTCAGTTTCACTAGCAGGACTACTCGCTCATGATGCCAATGCTATCAATGATCTTGTATCAGAATGCAAAACCAATGGGTTCTTCTATCTCGACTTCCGACATCCATCTACAAGCGATATCCTAAAGCTTGTTGAACAGCTTTCCATCATTGGCAAGTCAATGTTCAAGATGACGCTGGAAGAGAAGGAGGAGTACAGCACGGAGAAGTATCTCCCTTCGAGACTGCTAGGGTACGTTAGATGCAAATGCTTCTACGCACCGCCCTGCTAAATCAAATTTGTAGTTATAAGCGAGCCGGATGTTCTGTCGGGCCATTTTCTGGAAAGAAGGATGGCTACGAGAGTTTCTCGGTATGTTTCAAATGACATAGGCTTTGTTCCTGAGCTTAATGAGCTGACATATATCAGATTCACAACAATGGCATGTTTGGTGATGATGCCATGATAGTCCCACAAGACATCGATGATAACTTGGAGTTGTTCAAGATGTTCATGAGCGAGGTTCATGAATATACTGATTGCATTCTGTCCATCTTGTCAGAAGCTTTGCAACTCCCATATGACCTGAAACAATGCCACAGAAAGGACAAGCCATCGTCGGCAAATATGGCCATGTTGAACTACTTGCCCTGGGGCAGCAGCGACGAGAGAATCGGTAACATGGCTCATACTGATATGGGCACGCTAACCGTTGTCTTTTCCAAATCTGAAGGTCTGCAGGCCATGTTACCTGGACGTGAAGATTGGTCGTTTATTCCACCTCAAGAGGGGCATGCCGTGGTAAACGTCGGAGACTCACTTCGGTTCCTGTCCAATGGCATGTTGGCCTCGTCACTCCATCGTGTCGTTCCCCCGCCTGATTCCGCTGGCCAGGATAAGTTTTCTGTCATATACTTCTTGCGACCTGAGTTTGACGCCAAGTTCAAGAATCATGAAGGAAAAGAGATCAACAGCGTGGAATGGCACAACAAGAAATATTCCCTGTTCAGAGAGGATAGTCTTGATGCCAAAGAGCATGGAGCTATGCTTACTGGGCGGAATGAATATCTTGGCGCGACGGCTAGTACTTGAAGTGACGAGATGGATTGCTTTCTGATTAGTTTAGTATCTGAACAGAGAAACTGAAATTGACCATCATTCCAATACTGTCCATGACACAATATTCCTGTCTTGGGCAAAAGGACCAATTCCCAAGTGATTACCCCATGGTTTCACTGCAAGTTACCATCTGCACTTCGGTGTTATTGAGATGTTGATACAGCTCGTCAAATGGGAAGGAAAAAGCCGGCAGCTGATCGTCCATGCTTAAACCCAGGTATGCAGACGAGCTCAATTGATCTGACTCATGTCAGTAAATTCTCGCCGAGAGCGCACGCAGGGCCATACAGTTGCTCAAATCATCATCTACAAACATTGATGGAGATAAGAAACTTGCATGATCCAACATAGCTGTATCTTCGCAAATTGTTATCGCGCCAGGTGAGCTTTCAGTTTGTTCTGATTGGAGCAAAGTTGGTGTGCCCAATGATGATACCAATCGTGGCGTAGATGACTGCTGAAGTCTTTGGCTTGGTTCTAAAAGAGGCATATGTTAGAAAGAAAAGCTAGGGCAAATCGGGCATCATACCAAGTCGCTTGCCTGTCGTCATTTCTTCCAACCTTCGTGCAATGTAATCCCCCAATTCTGAAAGCTTCAAATCTTTTACAAGGTCGTTAATGCCAAGAGCAACGAACCTAGCGGCTGCCGCACTCATATGCTCTTTGGTGCATCTCGATGTGTACCTGTAAGAGTGAGACACAGCAATTACCCAGGGATGTTGAACATACGCTGATCTGGGTATCTCAGGAGGCAACGCAATGAGTATTCCAAGTCCTGACACTTGAGTGAACATCTTAGTCCATTCATGATATCTACAGCCCTGATCAACCCAGTTGAGGCATTTATTGGCCGCTTTAGTGTCGTGGAACCGCTCAGGAAAGTCGTCACAAAGCCTTTTGGCAAGCTCTAGCCGCTTTTCTCGTATCCAATGCTCACCAGTGTGAAATCCGGCCTCTGCCACATGGCGGTAAATGTTATAGCACTCAAACCTGTGATATATGCTTAACAAATCCCGCATGTCGGCGTTTTCTTGTTTGATTGCTATAGCGGCTCTCCAGCCTTGCCCATTTGGGAGAGATGCTTTGGATTCCTCGATTTTGCGGAGGAAGAGGCTTTTGTCGGTTTTGCATGTTTCTAAAAGCTGTCGCAGAGTCGCTGTGAAGCTTAGTTCGCTACATGTGGCGAGGCGTGTTTTGCCGATGGCGTTATCGTTGTCAGGGAAGGCCATCGTGTCAGAAGGATTTACCGTTAGGGTGTTTGAGATTGGGTGTTGTAATTCGTTCAATGTTTGTTGCTGGTAGAAAGTGTTTGGTTCTAGGAAACCTGATTCAAGCGTGTAAATGTCATCAATCTCTCCCGAGACCTGGGCGCCACCGTTCTCCGCAGCCGGGCTTGAATGTGCAGTGGGCAGACCATTATCGTTTGTGGAAACTGGATCCTGCAATTCTTCAAAACCAGGGATACCCGAGCTGTTGTTTTCGTGTGAGTTTTGATGGTCACGAAGCCCAGGCGGCGGCTCCGGAGGATCTGGCTGCCTATGGGTGTCGTTATCGTCGCTGGGTCTAGAAGGTGTTGTCGGGAACACAGCAGACACCCCACCTTGGTGCGACAATACTGATCGGACTATCGAAACTAATGTCAGTAGGCATCACCGCATAATCAGTACCAAGGGTGTGGCGTATTGTATTTGCCCATTAGCAGGTCAATAAAAGCTATCACAGACTCAAAGGGTCAACTCAAGCAAATAAGATGAAACTCACAAGATGGGCACAGCAAGAAGAACAGGCGAATTAGCGCGACAGAATCGAGTAACGAAAGGCACAGGAAGCACTTGGAAGCTTCTGCAGCGGAGATTTTGTCTTCGTTGGCACTAAAATAGCGTGCAAGCTGACAGAACAGGTCTTGCAGGTTCGCATCCGAATTTGACTCGATATGCATCCTGACAGAAAAAAAGTCTGTGATCCAAATAGAGAAGCAGAGTAAACACGACGAGTAACGAGTATCGAGTCCTACCAAAGATCTAACACGGTCAATCTCAGCTATTTGGTGACAAAGATCAGATCTGACAGAGGCGAGCGGAGCGATGGAGACGAGATCCGGGACCGTGGGTGGAACCCCAACAAACCACGGCACGGGCCTTGAAATATGTTGACATACATGCAGAACTACACCGTGTCTCGTAAGTGTCTCGCGAGCGGGGCGACCCTAGCGCCTCTACGATAGCCCCCGCATAATATGCTGGTCCCACTCGGTGAGTGAGATGCAGTACACCACATAATATTTATATGCGCCATTCTCCCATAACGGTAAAGCGAGATCTTACCGTCTTTTGGCTTCTGAACAAGTCCGTTCTTTCGTAGTCAGTAGTTAGACTTATTTATAACTCCTCTTTAGTATTAGATAAGGTTAGGGTATAACTGTATGTAAACACCAACCCTATAGTGCCCCTATAGTTCTTCAGCATTAGTAAGTAGAGCCATTAAAACTTGAGAAACCATGTTTTCTTTAGACGCCAGTATACCATACGCACTAGGACCAAAGTATATGGAGATCGTCAACATGTAGGAGCCGCTGTATCCTCTGCTGTCCCATGTATGCATTTGCTTAAAGCGTTTGCTATGTCGATAGACTCCACTTAGGCATGAAAATAAACAAAAATTCAGGGCCATGTGGATTTGAAGCAAGTTCTTATAGGTCCCCTCTTCGTGCCGTGTTTACAATAGGTCGGGACTGCTGTTGATTATTGCAGGTCCATTGCAGGTCCATTGCAGGTGGCGTATCGATTGGACATGGTTCCGTGCAATGGAGGGTCGGACCGTCGGGGTCAGCTCCGATGATTCGCCTGCATTTGGCATGGGCTCCTTTGCCCTTTTCTCTTTTCTCGTCTCTCGCCTTAGTTTGGGACAAGTTGCATTGGGCGGCTTTGCTGCATTAATATGCAATTCAGAATGTCTTATAGTTTTAATAGATCCACGTGAAGTGAAGCCCCCGAGGTGATTAGCTTGCCGCGGGTCATTATGGGTTTTTATACATTATTTGACCGTGTTCCACAATTGTATGATGGGCTTGAACTCACTCTTGAGACCAAGATAGGCGAGATGACATGTCACAAGGACCAATGCACAGTCTGACCGTAATTAAATCCACTGGGCATGTAGTCACGTAGATGGAGATTATTAATTATTATCTCAGACAAACACCTGCAATAAGAACAGTGGACTATATAGATATCGCATGCGCCTAGACGGTGCATTTCTCCTGTGGATTAGTGCTGAGAATCAAGATGTACCATATAACCCGGTTAAGAGAGAACGTGGCCTGGTAATGCGTACCTTGACTTTCGGTACATATCCACTGGGCGGGGAACAAAGTATGTGCACTGTGTTACGCTTATGGTCAAACTTGGTAAGGCTGAAGGTGGAGGGGAGGTTTTCTCAATAAGAGTACATCTCCCTCCCTGTCGCATGCGCATGTCGGATCAGTCCAAGTAAGCTTTTTTCATTACTGCAGTCATGACAATTCGCAGACGTCTTCCGCAACTTGCCTCCGAATTCGTCCGGAGGCAATTCCCCGGCCTTGACAAGGGCTCTATCTGCCTCAATAATGGTGCTGGCTCTCTTGTCCATAAGGGCGCTATAGAGAGGCATGTCGTCCATTCCAAGTTGAAAAACATTATGAAAATATCCTAACACTTAGCAAAGCATTGTCAAAACTATGTCTTATCCTCTCTTGAATCTACGGGGAATGGACTCCAAGAGCCATGTTGATGTTCAGAACCGCGCTGCTCAATACGCAAGAATAGCTTCCTTCGTGAATGCTGATCCTGACGAAATTGGTAAGTTCTGCTGAAAGACTTTGGTGTAATATTCCTGACGAGTCCAGCGTTCGGTCCTTCGACAACTGGCCTGTTGCGAACATTGACCAATTCTCTACGTCCAAACCTCAACGCAGACTCAGAGATCATTGTATCTATACTCTGCCATGAAGCTGGAATCACCGCATGGCGCGCCTTGGCAAAGAGTCTAGGTATAGTCATCAAATGGTGGGCTCCCCCAAAGGTCAATGGGTGCAACACAGACCCCAAGCTCACCCTGGAATCACTGCGGCCACTTTTAACCCCAAAGACAAGACTTGTTTGCTGTGGCCATGTTTCAAATATCACCGGGACAATCGAGCCTATAAAGGACATCGCAGACCTCGTCCATACCATACCCGGCGCCATGGTATGTGTTGACGGGGTAGCAATGGCACCTCATCGCCCTATTGATGTTAAAAGCCTGGATGTCGACTTTTACATCTTTAGTTGGTATAAAGTTTTTGGTCCTCATATTTCTCAGCTTTACGCTCGTCGGCGGATTCAACAGCGCTGGCTGACCAGCCTCAATCACTATTTCTTCGAGCCCAATGCTTTGTCCATCAAGCTTGGCCTTGGAAATCATTGCATTGAGCTCGAACATTCTGTTGTCCCTATCATCAACTATCTGGAAGACCAAATCGGCTGGGAACCCCTTATTGCTCATGAACAAGCCATCACCGGATATCTCCTTCGCTATCTGAAAGACAACCCAGATCTTTACACTGTGTACGGATCACAGTCATCAGATCGTAACGATCGCGTGTCTCTGGTTAGCTTTTCTGTAAACGGACTTTCGTCTGATCAGGTCGCACACGAGATTCACGAAACGTCACCTTGTCGGTTGATAAGCGGAGACTGTTGGTCCCCTCGTACAGTCTACGATATCCTAGGACGCGGAGATGATGGTATCATACGGGTAAGTCTGGTGCATTACAACACCATAGATGAGATGAGGACTTTTACAGAAGTTTTGGATCGCGCTGTGCGTCGCTTGAGCCATGGGGACTCTGGGTCAGTAGCCATGCACGCTGAAGCTCTCTAGACACAATCAACGATGAGCAGTATTTCAAAAATCAAGCTTGCTAAAATAGAACAATTCCGGTATTTTGCTAGCAATACGTAAAAGCGTTTTTGTCACTTCTGAAACCGTGAAATGGTTCCTTATTATGTATCTGTTATGGAGAACTCTTTGTCGAGAAATTTAAGATGGCCATCTTGTAGGCATCCTCGTCAGCTGTAATTTGAACCTTTGCCACCGCGTTGATTGTAAAGAGCCGCGGTCCTTCAGAAGCTCCCGTAGAGAGTTCTGTCACATGAGACGCTTATGGTTTCATATGACGACATTGGAAATTATCTTTGCTCCCTTTTCACCTCGATATATCGAGGGGTGTGTAACCCAGTATTGTCTTTACGGATATAAATACGCATCCTAATCTTCAATGCTCTGTTACACTTAATAGCACTACTGCTCTACTTCAACTGTGGTTTGAACTAATCTATCCTACCGTCTGGCAATGTCTCCTTCTCAGATCGAAACAACTTCATCCCATGGCAATGGAAAAGCCACTCACGACACCAAACTCATCAAAGAGCCTCTCAAGCTAATTGGTTTACTGGACAAGTACGAGTCTTTCAGCGTCACTCCAGTCATAGGAACGGAGTTTACGGACGCAAATGTCGCAGAGTGGTTAAAAGCTGACAACAGCGATGACCTCATCCGCGAATTGGCTATCACCAGTAAGAAATTATCTATTGACTCTCATAACGCACAATTGATAAAGAAGCAGTATCTCGACGTGGTGTCGTCTTCTTTCGCGCCCAGAAAGACCTCACCAATGAACTTCAGATGGAGCTTGCCGATCGCTTGGGGAGGCTCACTGGCAAGCCCGAGTCTTCAACACTTCATGTTCATCCATTACAAAACTTCAATCCTGACGAAGAGAAGCACATTAATACCATCACGACTGACCAAGCTGCCAACCCGGCTGAAGACCTTTGGAAAAACAGACCCGCCGATATTAGAAACAGTTGGCATACTGATGCTGGCTATGAGCCAAACCCTCCAGATTACTCAATCTTGAAGGTGGTTAAGATGCCTCCAACGGGTGGAGGTAATTCTATCTCTTCCCTTAGCAAAACGCAAACCCTAACAGCGTCTAGATACAATGTGGGCTTCATCATGTGAAATCTATGACAAGATCTCCCCTCATTATCGCAAGTTTCTTGAAGGTTTAACAGCCAGCTTTTCGCAGAGAAGACTGCCACGCGTAGCTAAGGAGAAGGGATTCGAACTATATACCCAGCCACGAGGATCCCCAAACAACGTGGGTGATTCTCTCACAACAACTCATCCAGTCGTTCGTACCAACCCCGTGACAGGCTGGAAAAGTCTCTTTGCAGTTGGCAATCACTGCGAAAGTATCAATGAACTTACACCTGATGAGAGTAAGCGTCTTCTGGATTGGTTCCTGCAAATGATTGTTGAGGAGCATGATTGTCAGCTGAGGCATCGCTGGCAGAATCCTTATGATCTTGGTGAGTGTGTATCTCCAAACTTTGCCAGTCATCTAATTAGATTATAGCTATTTGGGATAATCGTACGGTTTATCACACTGCTATCTTTGACTACGCTGGGCTTGGTCCACGTACAGGTCATCGCGCTGTTGGAATTGGAGAGAAGCCATACTTTGATGTCAAAAGCAAGACTCGCCGCGAAGCATTGGCTATGGAAGGACACTAAACTCTGTTTCAATATAGAAGAATATATATTACTGCTTGAAAGTGGGATTATATGTGTTCTGCCAAACGAGAGATGATTGCGGATATTACCTGGGAAATGCAAAGTCCAGAATAGGCAATAAATTAAGTCCATGGGCTTTTGAAACCACAATGAGAAGTGAATTCTAAGAGAAAAAGTGGGTTCAACTGCATCCCTAGCTCAGCTATAGTAAATCAATTAATCCAAACCCTGTGGGCACCTCTTTCAGATCATATAAATATATTTAACGTCGATACTGGTGTTCTTTTTTCCTTCTCTTACTAAATATCTTGACTCAAATAGGTGTCACACAACGACCAGTAACTCATCTACCACACAACAATTATACACCATGGCAAGAATAGACGACATTAATGCCACTGGCCCTCAGGATGTGTTTCTATTTGCTCTCAACCGTACCTGTTCTCATGTCCTATGCCGTTTGCTGTCGGGACAACCAGGATGGACTCAATCGAACTATCACTTCAAACGTGCTTTTGACTTTGCAAGAGAATCTTTCAACTGGGGGCCAATCAATTCCGTATCCGATCAGCAACGTCGAGATTTTGAAAGTCTCCTCCAAGAAGGGTTTGATGAAATTCAGGAGGAGCTGAAGGTCGCCAAAACTCAGGTTAGTTACTTCCCTTTATGAACCCGTGGTAAGCTTGTCTCTAATGGTGTTAGAATATGTCTATGTTCCTTAAAGAACATACCTTCTACGTCTGGGAGCCGTGTAAGCTCTCAGAGCATATGTGGGGTACATATCCGAGACCTTCTTTTACAGTTCATCAACAGGGTTCTTCTCACTCAGCAGAGGACGTAAAAACAAACCCAACCATATTCCCTGACAAGTTCCTCCTGCGGTGGAGACCAATATTTCTAATTCGACACCCGGCTCTCACGTTCGAATCTTGGTATAGAGCCGAAAGCGCCGCTCGCTCCATTGATCTTGCTGATAGGTCATGGGCGTTCTATACGACATATCAGTACTCTCGCCAGCTCTATGACTGGTTCTTGTTCAAAGTTGGAGAACCTTCTAGACCTATTGTTGTTGATGCGGACGACATTCTTGATGGCAGTCCTGCAATCAAGAATCTGTGCAATTCACTCGGCATGGATGAACAACATATCCTTTACAAATGGGATACGATCAAAGCACCTGAGAACGCTGGCTGTCGCGAGCTCAAGTTCATGAGTGAGTATTGGAATTCAACTTCAATTGACAGTTCAAAGAGCTCTCGGGGAGTCAATTTGGATGCTGTTTTTGGGCGATGGGTGGAGGACTTTGGAGCGGAAAATGCTAAAGAGCTTAAGGGTCTTGTCCATGAGTCAATGGAAGACTACAATTATTTAAAAGGTAGGAAGATATAAATCAGACTGGCTACTGAAGTAACAGACAGTGAGAAAAATCTATGATTAGATACAGCAGGTTCTGCTACGTTAAGATAGAATACTATTAAGAAATTCTCGCTCACTAATGAATGTGTTCTTGGTCTGATGCCATCCGGCAAGGCCTTTCCTTCCGTTTTCTACTTCTATGCCGCTTATCTTATAACCCCGAACACTTATTGAGGCTGTTCCTTCTCCTTAAGTGTTTATCTGTATAATCCCGGCTTGAAGCCACCTTTGCTGTGATAGGGTTGAGGGGTCAAAAAGAGGCTTCAGCCAGGCCCAAAGACGTACCATTTGCTTGGGCAGTGGCCTCATTTACATTCTCGTAAGTAAGGATGGACATGACTGGACCTAAAATCTCCTCTTTTACAATCTTCATCGTATCAGTACAGTCACTGAAGACAGTTGGAATTACCCAGTATTCGTTGGATAGATCAGAAGGAAAACCATCTGGCCTTTCCTTCCACCATAGACCAGCCGGGCGCCACCCATTTCGAGGCCATAGCGAATGTAGTAAATGACCTTGTTGTACTCCATTTAACTCGAGAGAGGGCCAAAGTTCGCTTTGGGGTCCTCCGGGATCCGACGCTGAGCAATTGCAGCTTCTTCTTAAGCTCTTCTTCAAACTGTTTCCGTATTTTCACAGGAACAAAGATCTGAGTTCCATTTGTGCAGATTTGGCCACTTGCAAAGTAGTTATCCAACATAGCATCGCTTACCGCATCTTAAATGTCGCCATCTGGCGGGACAATGAGAGAACTCTTGCCACCCAGCTCCATCGTCACATATTTCATACCCTGAACAGCTGAACTTGCGACCTTCTTGCCAGTGGAGACCTGACCGGGAGAGCTGACTTTAGAAATGAGAGGATGCGAAGCGAGATACGCTCCAACAGAACCTTTGCCTTGATGAAAATACCTGGGTGGCATCCAACTTCAGTCAGGATGGCTGCAAGAACAGTACCGTGGGCCGGTGTGTACTCGGATGGTTTGTAAACCATAGTGTTTCCAGCAGCCAGAGCAGCGTTCAAAGAGCGCTGAGATTAAAAATTATTAGTCATGGCCTGTAAATGCGTGCGAAGGATCGGATAGTTCCATGCACCAATCCCTAAGCACACCCCAAGGGGCTCTTTATAAATTTCGACACGACCAGTTTCATCGACTGGAATGGATTCGCCGTTCAGGGCCCTCCGCCAATGAGATTTCCGTAAAAGTAAAAACATCCGCACCACCTGCAATATCGACGGTGCTGGTTTCGGAGAGCGCCCTTCCAGTATCGCGTGTTTCCATTATTGCCATTTCATCGCTGCTTTGGCGCAGAATCGGTGCAAGTCGGAGCAGCACTCTGCTTCGCTCAAGTACGGGTGTCTGGGTCCAGTTGGGGAAAGCCTGCATTGCTGAGCTAACGGCAGCATCGCAATCATGAGTCGAAGTTTCAGAATACTCGGCAAGCACTGACGCTGACGCTGGGCATATGGATTCAAATCGGCTTCGGCCTGCTGGAGACAGGACACCACCATCGTAATACAAGCTGTCCGAAGGGTAGAGGATTTGAGATGCCGTTGCTATTGATAGCTATCAAAAATGGAATAGAATTGTGAACAGGTAGAGATGTGGCGCCAGTGCAGTTACATATCACAAGGCCTACGACAAGATACCTTAATATAGCAGAAAGAGGTAGAACGAATGACTTGAAATAACGTAAGATAAGCAAATAATTAATCTCATTGGCTGACGTACATTGCAAGATTGGCATGATACTCATCGGCATAATTCACCTCATGCGAAAGTTTCTGGCCCCTTTTAACCCACCAGAACGAAAAGTCTTAAATCCCCTAGACTCGAAATGGCTTCCCATACTGGTAAGCTTCATTATCAGAAATATACGAACTGTGACATTGTCATTGAGAAGTCAGCTAGGGATCTCAACCCTGAATAGGCAAGTCTATATGGATGCACTTGAGTTCTCCTATTTGCACGAACAGTACCTCGGCCTGCTAGCAGATAATGCGGATGTCTAAGTCACGGCGCTGTATACGCACTGCACACCTACTGTATATAAAGCATTTAACCCTGTTAAAAATAGCCTTAGTTGATCACGATCAAGCTGGAGCTCCTCATCGCATAGAACAACTAATGACAAGGACACGGAAATTACGGTCATGGCTGGGCTCCCCCACTAACTGATCCTCAGGTCGCGTCTTGATTTAGGTCAGGGACATATCCTGGATCGATTCCTTCTGTTCCTTTATGAGCTTCCAACCGACCTCCGAAATGTAGTTACACACAGTGGGAATGGATTGGATGCATTCGAAGTTGCCGCAAGCCAGGCCAAGCATGTTGTTGGCACTTGTATGGGGTAAGGAAAAAGTGACACAAGCTTTCAATGCTATCCCACGCAGCCTTGTTGATGAATGCAGACGCGATAAACTAGTCAACGGAAGCGTTTATATAGTTGGCAAGTGCTTTAACCGCTTTGAATCTTGTCGGCTGTTTCCTCTGGCCCAAAACAAGGGGTTACAAGCTGCACGTTGGAGTTACTGAAGTACTGACGGATCGAATCAATGCAGGCTTGTATGACCTGAGATCCTGTAGCATTATCCGTAAAGATCTGGTTCCTGGCAAGAGCCGGGAATTGAGATTAAATGCGCTGAAAATCCATTCTGGCTTATTGCTTGCTAGGGATCTGAGTTAATAGCAAAAGCGATAAAAGTGATTATGAGGTATAACGACTTCAGGAGATCTGAATGGTCGGTAAAGCTTAGGGTTAGCTTTGTGATAAGCCATTTGAGATCTTCTGCAGGATCAAACGGGAGGGGTTATTTGATATAAAGAGTAATTCTCTATTTACCGCAGATTAGAAATTATGCATTTAGCCCCTAATCAAACTATTAACATCGTGATATATTACTATTTACAGCAACACAATTATTTAACATAAACACAGTTAACGGCATGTATGCTAAAGAGTTAGGTGTAAATAGAGTCTTATTAGCTGCCTAAAAGTCTCATCTAGGGTATCTACACAATTTAATCTAACTCAATTCGTCTCTTCTCCTTACATTATCGCCCTCTAACCTTACTGGCATGGAAAATCGGGCTTTATTTAATCCTGACCAATTATAGCTCTCCTCATTCTCTCAGCCCCGGTATAAGGGTCACGTGCTAGTTAACGCACCAGGCTTGGTGCAGGTGTAGGTTTCCGTCTTTACCAGTAGCTCGCAGCACTAGCTTACCGTTCGGCTAACCGGCACGCCGCCTTGACCAGGGTTTGAGCTAACTAACTATATTAGTCGCGCACCTCGTTGCAATCTACGCCCGACTCAGGTAGGCAAGTTAGGGGGTGTCAAAAAACGTCTGACGTAAAGATCTGATTTTGTATGGTGGATGTGGATTCCGCGTCAGACTCTTTTTGACACCCCAAGGGCAAAGGTCATAAGACAAGCTTTGAGCAAGCATTCGCGTATTGCCTTGGCCGCAACTAGGTTATTTGGGGAAGCTGAATCTCGTCACCCGGAATCCACATGTACTACACGCATCTCCGCAAATGGCAGGTAGTCGTGTCGAGCATGATAAGGAGCACAGGAGGACCACCAATGATATCAGAGCTCACGATACCGAGTGTCTGAAGACCTGAATGAAGCATCGCCTGTCACGCTATGCGGCTTACTCGGACGGATGAGCCGGCACATATTTCCCCTCGTTAACGGAGTGTCCGAGTGCCATGGCGTGGAGTAAGATTGGAACAGGCTGCTTATCGCCAAACCATCGCCAATTGGAGGCATTAGCTATTGATTGCTGCCGCACTCCGTATGGAGTACTCCATTGAGGAAGGCAGTATTGTGCCAGCAGCGTAAGCAATGGCTCCCATAGGGGGGGCACATGATTTACCTGGAGCTTTAAAATTGGGGTAGCCTTCCATCTTCTACATTTCTTTCTTTCTTCTTTCTCACTTCTCCCATTCCTACCCGTCCCCCCCCTACCTCCGTCCTCGTCGCGATGAGTCTTACGAATGAAAAAAATGGCAGCAGCGATGCCCCCGACTACAAATCGGGTACGGTCGATCCCACGGCCGGCCGGCAGTCCCCTGTCGATGACCCAGAGGCCGGGGCGACGAATCCCCTCCATAAGAATCTCAAGGGCAGGCACATGCAGATGATTGCCATGTAAGGGTTTAATGTCAAGTACTCAAATATAGCAACTAACGGTCGCTTTTCTAAGTGGTGGTGCAATTGGTGCTGGCCTGTTTATCGGTTCTGGAACTGCTTTTCAGACTGGTGGACCTGCTTCTGTTTTTCTTGGTTTCCTAATTGTTGGTAAGTTGTGTACACTGCATTGGTCGCCATGCGATAGCTAACGCGTGTCTTCCTCAGGTGTCATGGTGTATGTTCCCTCGACGTGGAAGTCGAAGCATAGCATCTTTCCCTTCGGTTGATGGATATTGACATAGATCATTTAGGTACCTCATGATGCAGGCCCTCGCAGAAATGACTGTCCTGTATCCGATCAACGGTGCCTTCACCATGTACATCTGCCGCTTCGTTGATCCCTCCTTCGGGTGGGCGTGCGGCATCGAGTACGCCATCAGCTGGCTGACTGTCCTTCCCTTCGAGATCTCCGCTGCCTGCAACATGATCCATTTCTGGCCAGGTTCGCACGGTATTAACAACAGTGCTTGGATCGTCCCGCTACTTGTCGCCTTAGTGGTCATTCAATTCTTTGGCGTCAGGGGATACGGCGAGGTATGTTCCCAACTGTCTGAAAAGTTCCCAGCCTTGAGAGATATGGAAATGAGCTGACCGATTATTTAATTAGGTCGAATTTGCTCTCAGTTTGATGAAGATACTCGCCTGCATAGGCTTTATCATCCTGGGAATAATAATCAACTGTGGCGGCGTTCCAACAGACGACAGAGGCTACATCGGTGGAAGATACTGGTAATGTTATGTATGCCAAGTGGCTGAACTAGGCTAACATGGATTTCGAAACAGGAACGATCCTTACAGCGCATTCCTCAATGGCTTCCACGGCTTCTGCAGCGTCTTCGTCACTGCAGCGTTCGCCTACACTGGCACCGAGCTGACAGGACTGGCTGCTGCGGAAACAGCCAACCCAAAGAAGGAGATTCCGAAAGCCTCGAATCAGGTCGCATGGCGAATCGGTATCTTCTACGTCGTCAACCTTCTCCTTGTTGGACTTGTCGTACCGGCAAACAGTCCCCTGTATGGCAGTGCGACTACCGCGTCGCAAGGGTCGCCTTTTGTCATTGCAATTGAGCTTGCTGGCATCAAGGTCCTGCCATCGATTTTTAACGCCGTTATTCTGATCGCCGTTATGAGTGTTGCTAACTCGTGCACCTTTGGCTCGACTCGAACGCTTCAGGCTCTCGCTGCAAATGGTGCGTGCTGCGTGATGATATGAACATGCTGTTTGTGACGCTAACACACACTTACTATGCAGGAATGTTCCCAAAGAAAATGGCCTACGTTGACAAAAAGGGTCGTCCTATTCCCGTGGTCATTCTTCAGCTTCTCTTCGGGTTGCTAGCATTCATTAACCTGGCGCATAATGGTGGTACGATCTTTAACTGGCTCCTGTCACTGTCGGGTCTTACCATCCTCTTCGTGTACGGTGGCATCGCTCTGGCTCATATCCGCTTTCGCAAGGCCTGGTAAGCAAATCACCTGTTGTTTTCTGGCCTGCTTTGTTCCTCCGATAACTGACTTCGAACAGGGCCATGAACGGTCATACCTTGGACGAGCTTCCCTACAAGGCCAATTGCGGCGTCTGGGGTTCTTGGATATGCTTGCTTGTCTGCGTTCTTGCTCTGATCGCCCAGTTCTATGTCGCGCTTTATCCTATTGGCGGTCCTAACCTGAATGCATCAAACTTTTTCCAGCTCTACCTTGCCGGTCCGCTACTGATTTTCCTCTACTTAGTCTGGAAGGGCTACAGCTGGATCTATGTGCCAGCACACCGCCCATTGTTCATCAGAACAAAGGACATCGATATCTACACAGGCATGAGGGACATCAGTGCTGTAGGTACCTCTGCAGAAGGAGAGGAACGGCACCAGGGAGGTGCTGTGGCATACATTAAGAACGCTGTCCGAAACATTATTTAAATTTTACAGGAGTGTATTATTTCAGGGGTAGGCAGTAAGGGGTTTCTTAGCTAGAAGATAATTCTCTTAGCTGTGGCTCTGACGAGTGGTATACCACTGGCACTAATGAAACTTGCGACTCGATGGGACTCAAGCGCGGCGTATAATCAACTTCTCTCTTTATTGTGAATCAATACCGCCTACCCAACTGCAGCTCAGCTGCAATGATTGAGCCTGGTACGAGGCTCTGCATGCCTGTATAGTGTGACCTTGTTTATCAGCTGCGAACTGA